CCGGGCACACCCGCCCACCGCCGCCCACCGTGGGCAGAACCCTGGGTGGTTATCCAGAGTTGTGTAGATGGGGCATCATGGTTTGGCTTGGTGCAGCTGGTTGAATCATCCTCACCTTAGCTGGCACACTGGCCTCTCAAGTTCCCTAGTGTCAACACAGAAGACCCGACCATCCTTCAAGCCAGAGTATAGCAGGTTCCCATTCTGAAGACAAGAAACTAACATTTACGAAGTTCATACGATTTCTGATTATTCTAACACCGGGTAGCTTTTTTAAAAACTTATTTTCCTTTTCTCATACTTATCTAATATGGTTTTCAGGCATCACACACAGCAATCCTAATACGAGACCAAATATTAGCCTTCCACTCGGTTTAATTCATATCCAATACTCTCTCCACCTGTACACGACTAGAACATATACCTCGTTAAACAACTGTGAGTGTACGGAACGTCCTCTCAACGCTTGTATGCCCTGCTTAGCATTGCTCGTCACATCATACAGTATCACGGGCAGCTTCATCACCGCCTCCCACGCGGCCGACACCAGGGGCTGTCGATCCCTCCACACTCCCACCAGCGACTGCAGATGCCTCATCTTCGTAACGGACGCGCGCCACTCGGGGACGCTATTCAGCGCAAAGTCTCTCAGTGTGAGCGTGGTGCCCCTCGCCTTGTCGCACGTCCACGCGTACAGCACAAAGCTCGGCTCGTCGGCGCGCTCGCCCAGCCGCAGGAACTGCAGCCTGCTCAGCATCATGCCGCTCAGCCAGGCGGCGACCTCGCGGCCGCGCATGCCGCCGGTCGGCCGCAGCCAGCGGTCGGGCGACAGGTCGTAGTGCGAGAACCACAGTGGCCGGTTGTAGGCTACCGCGAGCCGCTTGCTTGCCGCGCTGCACGCGATGTCGTGGATCTCCGTGTGGCCCTGAAACGCGTCGACGGCGGCCGTCGCGAGGGATGCCTGCACGTAGGTGGATGGGTTCAGCATGGCTAAGTGAGAGGCGCGAGTCAGCGACCTGTACACGTCGCATCTGTAGGCGCCGAGCTGGTTATTGCTGGTTAGGGTCACCACGTTGCAGCCCTTCGCCAAGGCTCTTGTTCTGCGCACGCCCGCAATGCCACGGAGGCCGGCCTCGCGTGCCATCCCACCCCGGGGTCTCCATTCGCTCACGGCCTCCTGTCGCTTCTTCTCCCGCTGTTTCTCTAACACCCGCTGAGACGTGAAAGGATTTACGTTGTTGTGCCCTGGTAGCATGCGGTAGTATCGTTTCTTTTCTGGGTCATAGTAAAATCCAGGTATGTCTGCAACCAAATTGCAAATTATCACACACAGTCACGAATACCAGTACTACGATTACTATTGTTGCACAGCATGAATATAAACCAGTTTAGTTACTGCTACAATAAGTTTTACATGTAGAAAACAGATAAGATTATGTAACGCAGCAGAGTGCTGTAGCTCGGTATGCTCTAGTGGTGGAGTATATGCTACCCAGGGCCTAGCTCCAAGAAACGGTATTGCTAGGGTTAGAATACCGTATAGACAATCCGTCGCACAGCCTGGTCGGGCTACCCAGGGCCATAAGTAGTAGGCAGGGGGTGAAGGGTGGGCGATTTGCCTCCCACCTCCAGACCGTATTAATTGGCAGTGCCAATGGAGAACTGCCCATGGTCAACTTTCCAAAACGCAAACCGTGGCATGGTCCCACCAGGCAAAATCAGTAAGTGGTTTCGTATCTAGTAGGTCTACACCACACTTTTATCATTGGTGTAAATAAGTTTGGTTTACATCGGCAATTGCGCAACGAGTTACAATGCTGAATCTGGATGTGGACGTTTATTAACACGTGCTCCCACTCTCTCAACTAAATAGCTGTGTGATTAGCACTGGCGTATCTATAGCTCTAGTACTATAGCCCGCTTACATTAACTGCCGCTGGCATCCACACGCATTAACCCGCTGGCCAGCGGCAGTTAATGTAAGCGGGCTATAGTACTAGAGCTATGGCGTATCCAGAACGTGATGACCAGATGTATGACGATGTTGACCACCTTAAATCCATTTGCAAAGGGAGGTCCTTGTGGAGCAACAGAAGCAGGAGGGCATTCACTCTTACGTTACCCCCAGGGCGTCAAGTGACAAGTGACGCTCAAAAAATAGGAAAATAGGAATTTAAGATGTGAAAAAATAGGAGGAAAATAGGAATTTTGGTGAGAAGATATATGTTAAATAGGAATATTTGTTGCGTTAGATGGCCTCC